CTCTCTCTCTCTCTCCTCCTCAGTAGTTGGGGCTACATGACCAAGCCGGGGTCGCGGGATGGCAGGTAGACATAAGTCGCGTTCACACGGGCATGGTTTGGCTTGAGTCAAATGGGCTAGATTTGGCTCGTGCCAAATTTGGCTCGGGCCTAATTGAGTCGGAGCGTTCACACGTACGCAAGTGAATATTGTCTGTCAAATTCAAATTCAAATTTAAATAAATTTTATTGCCCAAATATCTCACAGATACTTTGACAGTATGTCGCGAGATGGCGTTGTTTACGATTTAGAGTGTTTACTTACGTTCCGAGTTTAATTATCAATCTTGAAAACGTGCATCCTGATCAAATTTTTCGAATTTTTATACTGTTTTGGACTTTATTTCGTCGAAGTACACGTTCTACACTCGCGGCATCTACCGCTCAACCGATTCTACCGCTCTACCCCTCGCCGAAAGCTGGTGCTAAAATTTGGCTCGGGCCTGATCCGACGTTTTCGATGGGACCAAATCTGGCACGGGCCTAATTAGGCTCGGGCCAAAAACGTCCGTGTGAACGCTCGGCTGGAGCCAAATCTGGCACGGGCCTAATTAGGCTCGGGCCAAAAACGTCCGTGTGAACGCTCGGCTCGAGCCAAATCTGGCACGGGCCTAATTAGGCTCGAGCCAAAAACGTCCGTGTGAACGCGCCTATGAGTTCATCGGCTGAGTCAACGTGAAATGACAGGTGCGATAATGCTATCATTAGGGATGGCTGGATTTTATAAGTTACTCGAACTCAACTCGGTTATATAGAGCGCTTATATACTATCGATAAATACATGGCAAACATTATACTGGTAAACATATATAAACACACATAGACACGCACATTCACGCACACACAGACACGCACACACACATGCACACACGCGCGCGCGCGCACACACACACACACACACAGGCACACACACATACGTACACGCACATACACGAACACACACAGGCACACTCGCCCACGCGCACACACACACACACACACACACACACACGCGCACAAATACGCATGCACACAGAGACACATACACACACGCACAAATACGCATGCACACACAGACGCAACCACAAACAGGCGCACACACACGCACGCACGCAAGCACGCACACACACACACACAGGCAGGAACACACAAACACTCATGCACACAGAGACACACACACACACGCGCGCGCACAAATACGCATGAACACACAGGCGCACACGCACGCATGCACGCACGCACGCACGCAAGCACGCACGCACTCACACACATACACACACACACAGGCAGACACACACACACACACACACACACACACACACACAC